GTGCTCCCTGCCCCTCTGATCCAGCTTCACTTTTGTCCGTGTCATTCATACACACACACACACACACACACACACACATTTTAAAAATAAACTTTACTTTTTACAACAGTTCTAGATTTTCAGAAAAACTGTAAAGATGATACTATATAAGAAAGTTCCCATATAACCTACACTTAGTTTCCCCCATTATTAACATCTTACATTTGGGGTACATTTGTTACAACTAGTGAACCAACACCGATCCACTATTATTAAAAGAAGTCCATACTTTATTCTGATTTCCTCAGTTTTTACCTACTGCCTTTTTTTCTGGTCCAGGATACCACATTTCATTTTTTGGTCCTATCTCCCTAGGCTCCTCTTGTCTGAAGCAGTTTCTCAGACTTTCCTGGTTTTTGATGGCCTCGACAGTGTTGAGGAGCACTGGCCACATACTACATATTTTTACTTCTTTGTGTATTATCTCACCCCAAGCAGGAAGGTAAGTTTCTAGAAGACAGGGCTTTTGTCTGTCTGTTTATGGTTTCTCCGGCAACTGGAATGGGGCTTGCCACAATATAAGTGTTCAACAAATAACTGCAGAATTTATTAATTTGCTCAAATGAATTCTTTTTTTCAACTCAAACTCTCTAGACTTTCAGGTTTCATAGAATCCAGTCCTTCTCATTTAACACACGAAGACAATTAGGTCTCAAGGGGTTAGGTAACATTCTTTTGTTTTTTAAGATTTATTTATTTGAGAGAGAAAGAGTGAGAGAGTTCATGCAAGCAGTGGGGAGGGGCAGAGGGAGAGGGAAAGAATCCTCAAGCAGATTCCTTGCTAAGTGTGAGCCCAACATAGGGCTCAATCCCATGACCCTGAGATGTCCACCAACTGAGCCACCCAGATACCCCAGGTTAGGTAACTTTCTAGTTACAGGAACCAGAACTAGAACTTCCTCAACCTTTTGTGACTGTCACACCCAGAAAATCCATACTTCACTGTACACAAGGACCCTATAATCAGTGTCAGTGTGCCAATACTTCAAGTTGCCCACAGGGAACTTGGGAGCTGATACTCATTCTCAGCAACCTCAAAATATTTTTCTGCAGAATGGTATTTATTTGGGTCAATGACTTGAATATTTTATTGCATTTTGCCCTTATTATTTTATAAACATTAAGTAAAAAAAAAAAAAAGCCAACACCAATACTTAGAGAAGTCATCTAGCAAGTGACAAACAGGACTGAAATCTTTCAGGTCAAATCAGATTCTTCTGATTAGGTCTTGGCTGATCACCTGAAACCAACACCAAGTGCTAGAATAGAAAACCTCATGAATGGCAGTGTGTAGATGGAGAGACATGAATAGCCTGTCACATGAGATAGTTCTATTTTTTACTCATTCCTTCCTCTTGAGTATCTTTTCAGGAAAAGATATCAAGGAATCCCCACATTCACTATACTTGTTTGGCAACTTTTAAACATGTGCTTTAGCAATAACCAAAAAGGAATCCAGTAATTGCTATTATACAATGTAATAAGCATGAACTTCAAATGTGTCCTTTCTCAACTCACCCAGTGCCCAGTATATACTATGCTCTAAATAAATACTTACAGAACACATGAAGATGAAGTGATTCAAAACCTTATTAGAAATGAACAATATGGGGGTTGCCTGGGTGGTTCATTTAGTTAAGCATCCAACTCTTGATTTTGGCAAAGGTCATAATCCCAGGGTCAAGAGATCACATAGTGTGCTGGGCTCCACAATGGGCATGGAGGCTGCTTAAGATTCTCTCCCTCTCCCTCTCCCATCTGAAAGAAGAGAAGAGAGAGAAGAGAAGAGAAGAGAAGAGAAGAGAAGAGAAGAGAAGAGAAGAGAAGAGGAAGAAGAGGAGAGGAGAAGGGAGGAGTGGAGAGGAGAGAAGAGGAGAGGAGAGGAGAGGAGAAAAAAAAGAAAAGAAAAGAAAGAAAAAAGAAAAGAAAAGAAAAGAAAGAGCTACATAAACATGGAAAATTTATTTCTAGTGCTTCTACTCTTCTATATATCCCATGCAACTACAAGATATTAAAAAAAACCACTCTTTAGGAAGTATTCCTTGCCAAATCTATATTCTGGGAAAATTTATGAATTTTAAGTGTATCAAACAGATAGCCTTGGGAAAATTTTACTTTGTATTTTTTATTCTGTCTTCTTCCAAAAACCTTATAGGTGCTACCTAAGAAAGTCGATTGACATATGTTAACCTCTCATTAAGCAGTATCATTGGGGGATCCCTGGGTGGCACAGTGGTTTAGCGCCTGCCTTTGGCCCAGGGCGCGATCCTGGAGACCCGGGATCGAATCCCACCTCGGGCTCCCCGTGCATGGAGCCTGCTTCTCCCTCTGCCTATGCCTCTGTCTCTCTCTCTCTCTCTGTGTGACTATCATAAATTAAAAAAAAAAAAAAGCAGTATCATTGGGATATAAGACAGTTCATACACACACACACACGCACGTAATGTCAAAGCATTTCACTTTACACTTTTTCTAATGTACTTTCTAAAATGTACTAAACTCCCCTTGTCCTTCTTCAACAGCTGAAAGTCTTTCATCATTTGTCTGTTTGTTGGCTATTCAAGGTCAATTATGACCAACATGACCATATTTTCTCAAATTTAAGACCTGCACTTTTTGTTTTCCATATATGAAATTAGGGATCCTTCTTATAATAATACATACATTTGATGTTGTGTATTCCCCTTTTAAAAGTTACTATTAAGGGGTGCCTCGGTGTCTCACTCAGTTAAGTGGCTGCCTTTGGCTCAGGTCATAATCCTGGAGTCCTGGGATCAAGCCCTGCATCAGGCTTTCCTGCTTAGTAGGGAGTCTGCTTCTCCCTCTCCCTATGACTCTCCCCCCTTACTGATGCTTTCACTCACTCTCTCAAATGAATAAATAAAAAAATCTTAAAAAAAAAAAAGCTACTATTAAGATGAATGATTTTTCTTTCCAATTGGAACTATATCTCAGAATAACCAAACTGTTTACAAGGGGATATTATAGAAGTAGTCCAACTAATAAATAATGAGAAAATAATGGAATAAAAAATTATCAAACATCCTGCAACAACCAGTAAATATTTGACCTAGACAAAAATCAATGGTTGCTAACAACATATACAGAAAGACAACTAGGCATTAAGATTTTTTTTTTTAAGATTTTATTTATTTATGCATGAGAGACACACAGAGAGAAAGAGGCAGAGACACAGGTGAGGGAAAAGCAGGCTCCATGCTGGGAGCTGGACGTGGGACTTGACCCCAGGTCTCCAGGATCACGCCCTGGGCTGAAGGCAGTGCTAAACCGCTGAGCTACAGAGGCTGCCCAGCATTAAGATTCTTTTCAATAGAAGTGCAGATCACTTTTGGAATGAATTATGTTGCCAAAAAAAGAACATGAATCCTGTCACAATTCTAGACCTGTCTCTAATTTGCTGGAAATACAAGAGGGACAAAGACAAGTTATATGACTCCACAAGGTGTGCCTTCATGGCTCAGTTGGTTAAGCATCTGAGCCTACAGCTCAGGTCATGATCCTGGTGTACTGGGATCAAGCCCCGTGTCAGGCTCCCTGCTCAGAGGGGAGTCTGCTTCTCCCTCTCCCTCTGCTCCTACCCCCTGCTGTACTTTCTCATTTGCTCTTTCACAAATAAATAAGAAAAATATTAAAAAAAAAAATGACACCACAAGATGCAACTGGCCTAGACTGTGGGAAACTGTATCTAGAAGACAAAGGACTTGCTTCTTTAATAACAAAATACAAAAAAAAAAAAAAAAAAGAGGGAACCTATAGATTTTAGACGTAAGAGACATCAACCACTACAGAACATTGCCAAGGACAGACCATGTTAGGTCACAAAACAAGTCTTAATAATTTTAGAAACATTGAGATCATAAAAAGTATCTTTAACTGGTCATAATAGAATGAAATTAGACATCAATAACTGAAGAAAAACTGAAAAATCCTAAAAAACAGAGAAATTCAACTTTTAAACAACAACAGGTCAAAGAAACCAGAGTGAAAATCAGAAAATAGGGATGCCTGAGTGGCTCAGTGGTTGAGTGTCTGCCTTTGGCTCAGGTCGTGATCCTGGGTTTGGTATCAAGTCCAGATCCAGCATCCAGCTCCCTGAGAGGGGCCTGCTTCTCCCTCTTCCTCTCTCTGCGTATCTCTCATAAATAAATAAAATATTTAAAAAAAAGAAGAAGAAAATCAGAAAATACCTTGAGACGATGAAAATGAAAACACAACATAGCAATACTTCTGAGATGTAGAGAAAGTAATGCTAAGAGAAAAATGTATAGCTGTAAACATTTACATTAAAAAAAAATCTCAAATCAACAACCTAACTTTACCACTTAAGGAACTAGAAAAAAGAACAAATAACCCAAAGCTAGCAGAAGGAAGGAAATAAGGTTAGATCAGAGATAAATAAAGACTAGAAAAACAATAGAAGAAAATCGATGAAATGAAGAGTTGGGTCTCTGAAAACAATCAACAAAATTGATAAGCCTTTAGCTGGATTAAAAAAAATAAAAAACACACAAATAATTAAAAGGATATAAAAAAGTTTTACCAGTTTTACACAAATAAGAAGGATTATGAGTGTACTATGGGGGCACATTGGTGGCACAACCAGTTGAACTTCCAACTCCTGTTGTCAGCCTTGGTTGTGATCCCAGGGATGTGATCTTGGGATTGTGGAATCAAGAGCCATGTGGAGCTCAGCGCAGGAGTCTGCTTGGTATTCTCTCTCCCTCTCCCGCTTGTGAGCACATTCGAGTTCTCTCTCTCTCTCTCTCTCTCTCTCTCTAAAATAACTATTAAAAAAAAAAGAGTACTATGAGCAATTATACACAACAAATTGGATAGCCTAGAAATACACAACCTACAAAGATTGAATTATGAACAAATAAAAAACTGAATAGATCTTTAACTAGTAAGAAGCCTGAATCATTAATTAAAAGACTCCATAAAGGACCTCATTCAGGGATCATTTCGATAGTTTGTTACTAGAAAGGTTTCTCTGAATGTATAGAGTACCCAAAACCATGAGGAGGGGGCATAGGCCTAGCATTTTCTCCCTAGCATGAAGCCAGCACTGGGTGGTGCTTCTGCAGCTTTCTTTTGCCTCTGAGGACTGTCCCCTCACTTTAGACAGCAAGAGAAAAAACAAACAAAAAATCTCCTTAAGGAAGAGTTCAAAACCAGATGGCTTCACTGGTAAATTCCACCAAACATTTAAAGAATTAACACAGATCTTTCTCAAACTTCCAAAAAAATGAAGAGAAGGGAACAGTTTCTCCCTCATTGTATAAAGCCAGCATTACCCTAATACCAAAGCAGGACAAAGATGCAAGAAAACTATACACCCATGTCATTTATAAACATTGCTGTAAAAATCTTCAAAAAAACACAAGCAGGATTTAACAGTATAAAGAAAATGATTACACACCATAACCAAGCACAATTTATCCCTTTAATGCAAGGATGATTCAACATATATATACATTAAAAAAAAATCAATCAATGTGAAACTCTGCACTAACAGGATGAAGGAAAAACTCACATGAACATTTCAATTGGTGCAGGAAGCATTTGACAAAATTCAACATACTTCCATGATTTAAAAAAAAATTACTATACAAGCACTCTACAAACTAAAAATACAAGTAAACTACTTCAACATAATAAAAGCTACATATGAAAAGCCCAAAGCTAACATCATGCTCAATGGTGAGACTGCAAGTTCTTCCTCTAAGATCTGGACCAAGACAAACATGCCCACTTTCACTACTTCTTTCCAACATAATGCTGGTCCTAGCCACAGCAAGTAAGCAAAAGAAAGAAATAAAAGGTATCCAAATTGGAAAAAAAGTAATAGTATCTCTGTTGATGGCATGATGTTATATATGTAGGGAAAACCCTACAGAGATTGCACCAAAAACTAAAAAAAAAAAAAAAAAAAAAAAAAAAAACCTGTTAGAACGAATAAACAAATTAAACTAAATTGTAGGGCACAAATTCAACTTGCAAAAACCAGTTGCAGTTCTATACACTAACAATGAACAATATGAAAGGAAATTAAGAAAACAATTCCATTTACAAGAGCAAGATAAAGAATAAAATACTTAGGAATAAAACAAGGAGGTCAAAGACTATGTATACTGAAAACTATTAAGTGCTGTTGAAAGAAATGAAGAAGACACCAATAAATGGAAAGATATCCCATCTTCATATATTGGAATATTTAGTACTAAGATGTACAGTACTACTGTAAACAATCTATAGATTCAATGCAATTTCTATGAAACTCCCAATGACTTGGGTCCCTGGGTGGTTCAGCGGTTCAGCGCCTGCCTTTGGCCCAGGGTGTGATCCTGGAGTCCCGGAATCGAGTCCCACGTCAGGCTCCCGGCATGGAGCCTGCTTCTTCCTCTGCCTGTGTCTCTGCCTCTGTCTCTCTCTAGGTCTATCATGAATGAATAATAAATAAAATCTTAAAAAAAAAAAATCCCAATGACTTTTCTGCAGGAGTAGAAAACTCCATCCTAAAATTCATATGGAATTCCAAGGGACCCAAAATAATCAAAATAATCTTGAAAAAAAGAACAAGGTTGGAAGTTTCATACTGCCTAATTTCAAAACTTATAAAAAGTACAGTAATGAAAACAGTGTGGTACTGTCATAAAAACATATATAGACCAAAAGAACAGAAAAGAAAGCCCAAAATATACTCTCACATATAAGGGTTAAATAATTTTTTAAGAAGTACCAAGACCATTCAATGAGAAAAGGACAGTCTTTTCAATAAATTGTGCTGGGAAAACTAGCATCCACATGCAAAAGAATGAAGTTGGAGGGCAGCCTGGGTGGCTCAGCGGTTTGGCGCCTGCCTTTGGCCCAGAGTGTGATCCTGGAGACCCGGGATCGAGTCCCACGTCGGGCTCCCTGCATGGAGCCTGCTTCTCCCTCTGCCTGTGTCTCTGCCTCTCTCGCTCTGTGTCTCTCATGAATAAATAAATAAAATCTTTTTTTTTGAATAAATAAAATATTTTTTTAAATTTTTATTTATTTATGATAGTCACACAGAATGAGAGAGAGAGGCAGAGACACAGGCAGAGGGAGAAGCAGGCTCCATGCACCGGGAGCCCGATGTGGGATTCGATCCCGGGTCTCCAGGATCGTGCCCTGGGCCAAAGGCAGGCGCCAAACCGCTGCGCCACCCAGGGATCCCTGAATAAATAAAATCTTAAAAAAATAAAGCTTTAGGAGAAAACGGGGGGAAGCTTTCTGACACTAGATCTGGCAATGATTTCTTGGATGCTACACTAAAAAGCAAAGACAAAAGAAAAAAATAGATAAATTGGACTATATGAAAATTTAAAAATTTTGCACATTAAAGTCACAATTACAGGCAACCCACAAATGGGAGAAAATATCTATAAATTATATATTTGATAAGAGTCTTTTTAAAAAGATTTTATCTATTTATTCATGAGAAACACAGAGAGAAGGCAGAATATAGGCAGAGGAAGAAGCGGGCTCCTCACAGGGAGCCCAATGTAGGACTTGATCCTGGAACTCCGGAATCATGCCCTGAGCCAAAGGCAGACGCTCAACCACTGAGCCACCCAGACATTCCTGATAAGACTCTTATATGTCAAATATATAAAGAATTCCTACAACTCAACAACAACAACAAAAAAAACAAACAACCCAACCCAAAAATGTGCAAAGGACTTGAACAGACACTTCTCCAAGGTATACAAATAGGCAGTCAGCAGCTAAAAAGATGCTCAACTTCACTAATCATCAGAAAAACGCAAATCAAAACCACAATAAGGTGCACCTGGCTGGCTCAGTCTATAGAGCATGCAACCCTTGATTTTTGGATTGTAAATTTAAGTCCCACATTGGGCACAGAGCTTACGTAAAGAAAAAAACCAAAAACCAAACCAAAAAACAAACAAAAAACACTACCACTTCAGACCCATTAGGATGGCTACTACCAAAAAAACCGAAACAAGTATTGGTGGGGTTGTGAAGCAGTTGGAACCTCTGCATTGTTGGCGAGATTATAAAATGGTGCAATAGCTATGGAAAATAATCTGGCAGCTCCTCAAAAAATTAAAATTAGAACATTCATATGATCCAGCAATCCCACTTCTTGGTATATATCCAAAAGAACTGCAACATGTAAGAGATATTTGCACATCCATGTCCATAGCAAAATTATTCATAATCGTCAAGAAGTGGAAGCAATCAAAATGTCCATTGATGGAAGAATGGAAAAACAAAATGTGGTTTATACATACTGTATTTGTTAGTTCTCCAGAGAAACAGAACCAACATGATGTATACACACATATTTATTATAAGTAACTGGTTCATCTGACTACAGAGGCTCACATGTTTAAAATCTGCAGGGTAACATGACAGGCTGGCAACCCAAGAGAGCCAGTGTTCCATACTGAGTCTGAAGGTAGTCTGCTGAAGAACTAGCAAGAGCCTGATGTGGCAGTTGAAGTCCAATCGCAGTCTACTGGAGAATTCTCAATTGCTAAAAGAGGTGGATCTTTTTTGTTCTATTCAGGCTTTTAACTGATTGGATAAGGGCCATTCACATTTTGGAGGGCAATCTCCTTTACTCAAAACCCACCAATTTAAATGTTAATCTCATCCTAAAACACCATCACAGAAACGGCCAGAACCACGTCTGATCGAATACCTGGGCACCCCATGATCCAGCCAAGTTAATATATAAAATTAACTGTCATATATACAATGGAATATCCTGCCTTAAAAGGAAGGAAATCCTATAACATGCTACAACGTGTATGAACCTTGAGGATATTATACTAAGTGAAATAAATCAGTCACAAAAGTACAAATATTATACGATTTCACTTACATGAGGTAACTAAATGTAGGGTAAGTTCCTGACATTACGCTTCTGATTGTCAAGATATCCATTTCAAAAGATATCTCTCTTGAATAAACATATTGCCAGATGTATGACACAATCACTAGGTAAAACAACCAGATTAGGAACTAGGTCACCCACACCCGTTAAGTTCCTCTTACAGAAAATCCTGGGTGATTTAGATAACTGACCACTTGAGTGACCCTGCTTCCACTCTCCCATGCCCTCATTTCTGCTTTTACGCATCAAATTAGCCAATAATGAGTAACCCCTAAAAAACCCTGACATTCTACCCTTGGATCCCAATAAAATCAGAGCCCTAGCTCCTCCCTTTATCCCTGTCTCTCTACGTGGGACCTCACTTGTACCACAAACCCTCTAGGACTTGCGTGTAATAAGTCCTGTTCCTCAAAATTTCCTTACTGTTTTTGCTTAGGTACAACCTGCGATCATTAAGAACCAAAAGGATCCAGTCACAGCCCAGGTCCCCATGGAGCTCGCTGTAAGACAGGACCAGGCGAGTGCCTCAAGCATTCCTAGATGAGAGCGTCACCATCAATAGGTGGGGCAGAACACAACACTAAACCTGTCAAATTTGTAGAAATGGGAAGTAGAATGATGGTTGTAAAACCTGGGGTAGGGAAAAGGGGACTTTTTTAATAGGTACAGTTTCAGTTCTGCAGGATATACAGCTCTACAGAGCTGTTCACAGCAATGCAAATATACTTAGCACTACTGAATTGTACAATTAAAAATGATTAAGATGGTAATTTTTTTTTAATTATGATCACACCCTGGGCTGAAGGCGGCGCTAAACCGCTGGGCCACCCAGGCTGCCCTAGATGGTAAATTTTTTAAAAAGGACTCTGATACAGGCTATGAGGAGGGGAATTGGGCAGTAATTGTTTCACAGGCACAGAGATTCAGTCTGGGAAGATGAAAAAGCTCTGGAGATGGATGGTGATAATGGTTGCACAATAATGTGAACACACTTAATGGCACTAAACTGTAATCTTAAAAATGGTTAAATGGGGGGTGCCTGGGTGGCTCAGGCAGTTAAGCGGCTGCCTTCAACTCATTATCTCAGGGTCCTGGATCAAGCCCCATGTAGGGATAGCCTGCTTCACCCTTTCCCTGTCCCCATGTCCCTCCTCCTGCTCATGCTCTCTCTAGCTCTCTCTCAGATAAATAAACACATCTTTTTTTTAAAAAAAGGTTAAATAGTAATTTTTATGTTTTTTTTTTTTTATAAATTA